TATGAAAATGAATAAATACATACAATAAATCTACGAAAACACAAACAGCGGGAAGGAAATAGTTCAAGACTTGCAAGTAGAAATAGAATCAATAAAGAAAACACAAACTGAGGAAAACCTAGAAATGAAAAATGTAGAAACTTGAAAAGGAACCTCAGAAGTAAGTCTCATCAACAGAATAAAAGAGATAGAAGAGAGTCTCAAGCACTGAAGACCCTATAGAAGAAAAGGATGCCTTGGTCAAAGAAATAATAATTTTTTTAAAACCCAAGGTACAAAACATTCAGAAAATCTGGGACATTATGAAAAGACCAAATCTATAAATAACAGGAACAGAAAAAGGAGACGCACAGGTTAAAGGTACAGAAAACATTTTCAACAAAATCATAGAAGAACATTTCCCTAACCTAAAGAAGAATATGACTACCAAGGTACAAGAAGAACACAGAACACAAAAGAGACTAAACCATGATAGTCATTCCCATGACACATACTAGTAAAAACATTAAATGTACAGAACAAAGGAAGAATATTAAAAACTGTATGGGGCCAGGCGGTGGTGGTGCACGCCTTTAATCCCAGCACTCGGGAGGCAGAGGCAGGCGGATCTCTGTTGAGTTCGAGGCCAGGCTGGACCGATAGCCTCCAAAACAATACAGAGAAACCCTGTCTCATAAAAACCAAAAAAAAAAAAAAAAACGTATGGGAAAAAGACTGAGTAACATATAAAGACAGACCTATTAGAATAACACCTGACTTCTCAATGGAGAGTCTAAAAGCCAGAAGGTGTTCTGAAAGTAAGATGTTCCACAAAGATGTCAGTCTAGACTCTAAACCCAGCAAAACTTTCTATCACAATAGATGGAAAAAAACATTCTGTGATAAAACCAAATTTAAGAGACATCTATCTACAAATCCAGCCCTTACAGAAGGCACTAGAAGGAAAACTTCCACCTGAAAAGGTTAACCATACTCAGGAAAATACAAGGAATAAATAACATCAGGCCAGCAGATCAAAAGACAGAAGAGGGCACAACATGGACTATACACATTACAAGAATAAAAAACAAAAAAATCAACAAATAAAGCTCACTGATAACTGTCAACACCAATGGCCTCAATTCCCCAATAAAAAGACACAATAACAGAATGGATTCCAAAACAGGAATCATCCTTCTGTTGCATCCAAAAAACAAACCTTAACATCAAGGATAGACATCACCACAGGGGAAAGGGATGGGAATAGATATTCCAAGCAAATGGACCTATGAAGCTGGTATAGTTATTTTAATCTGATTAAAAAACTTTCAACCCAAAACTAATCAGAAAAGTTAGGAAAGAAAACTACATACTCATCAAAGGAAAACTCCACCAAGAGGATTTTGCAATTCTAATATCTATGGAGGCATCTAATATCTATGGAACATGGAGGCATCCACATTCATAAAAGAAGCACAATTACACCTTAAATCACATATTAGCCTTGACTAGTCAATGGGTGACTTCAACACCCACTCTTGCTTATAGACAAGTCATCTAAACAAAAAGCTAAACAAAGAAGTGATGGGGGAAGTCCTTCTGTGTACGTTTGTCTTATTGGTTGATGAATAAAGCACTGCTAGGCAACAGGGAAGCAAGATAGATGGGACTAGGAGAGGTGGAGGATTATGGGAAACAGAGGTCCAGACCCTTTCTCCGGTAAGAGATGACTACAGGGAAATACTCAGATTAGCAGTTGTGGGTTAATAATTATGTCAGAGCTAGCCAACAAGAAACCATAGAAAACGTCCAACAGCTTCTTAATTAATATAGTGTCCTGTATGTTCACTTGGGACTGACATGGCTCTGGGACCAGGCTGGTGGGAAGAATCTCGTTACGAAGAAGTGCTGAAACTAACTGATGTCATAAGCTAAAAGGACCTAACAGATATTTACAGACCATTTCATCAAAATGCACATAAAAAGACACATTCTTCTCAGCAGCTCATGGAATGTTCTCCAAAATTGACCACATACTTGGGATACAAGGCAAGTCTCAACAGGTACAAGAAAACTGGAACAACAACAACAACAAGCTACCCAGTCTCCTATTCATATAGTAAAGCTGGGATATAGACAACACAACCAACAGAAAGCTAGCAAACTCTTAGAAAATGAACAACACTTTACTGAACAAAAAAGGGATCAAGACAGAAATTAGGCAGAAACAAGGACATTTCTTCAACTATGTTCATAGCAGCATTATTCATAATAGCCAAAACCTGGAAACAACCTAGATGTCCCTCGACTGAAGAATGGATAAGGAAAATGTGGTACATTTACACAATGGAGTACTACTCAGCCATAAAAAAACAATGATATCTTGAAATTTGTGAGCAAATGGACAGAACTAGAGAACGCCATCCTGAGCCAGGTAACCAAGACCCAGAAAGACAAATATAATATATATACTCTCTCATAAGTAGATACTGGGCATAAAGCAAAGGACACCAGCCCACAGGCCACAACCCCATAGAACCTGAGAGACATACATAGATCCGCCTAGGAAGAGGAAAAAGACAAGATCTCCTGAGTAAATTGGGAGCGAGGTGGGGCAGGGGGAGGTGGAAGGGGAGAGGGAAAAGGGAAGGGGAGTGGGAAAAATGTATAGCTCAATAAAAAAAGAGAAAGAAGAAACTGTTTTTGTTTTTTAAAATGAGCATTTGTACGATTAAGAAAATGTTTTAGTTGTTTAAAAAAGTATCTCATTATTTTTTGTATATCAGTGTATGTTTGTCTAGGCAGTGCTGTGTGCAGTCAGTGCCTGTGGAAGTCAGAAGAGTGTGTTAGGTCCCCTGGAACTGAGTTATGGGTGGTTGTGAGCTGCCTGTATTGCTGGGAATTGAACCGGAGTCCTCTGCAGGGGCAGCCAGTGCTCTTAGCAGCTGAACAGTCTCTCCAGCCCGTCTCTGTTCTCTGTGTAGTCACAGTAGCCCACTGTAGAAACCATGATTAGGATCCAACAGCCTGGTGCTGAGTGTCACTTATTTCTGTACTGTTAATTCAAGTATTATACCAAGAAAAAAAGGACAGAAATTGGGGGGGGAAACATAACTTTCCAGAACTGATTGAAAATGAAATTGCAACATATCAAAATTTTGGTACACGATGAAGGCAGTTCTAAGAGGAAAGTTCATAGTACTAAGTGTCTACATAAAGAAGCTGGATAGATCTCATATCAGTAGCTTAATAGCAAACTGAGAACTCTAGAGAAAAAAGAAGAAACCACACCCAAAAGGAGTAGACAGCAAGAAACAAACTCAGGACTGAAAGCAATACTAGAAACAACAGCAACAACAACAAAATTACAAAGAATCAATAAAACAAAGAATTGTTTCTTTGAGAAAATAAAATTGAAAACCCCTTAGTCAAGTTAACTAAAAAGCAGTAAGAGAAGATCAAAATTAACAAAACTACAGACCAAAAAAAGAGGACATAACAGACACCAAGGAAACCTGTGAATCATAAGGACAAACTTTAAAAACCTGTACTCAATCAAATTTGAAAAATCTAAAAGAAATTGATAATTTTCTCAATACATATCACTTAACAAAGTTAAATCAAGATCAGATAAGGAATTTAAACAGACTTATAATCCCTACTGAAATAGAAGCAGTCATTAAAAGACTTTCAAACAACAACACAAAGCCTGGGCCAAATGGTTTTAGCACTGAATTCTATGAGACTTTTGAAGAAGAGTTAATGCCAATATTCTTCAAGTTATTCTGAAAAATAGAAACAGAAGGAACACTGCCCAATTCTTCTGAAGGAGCCACCTAAACCATAAAGAACCAACAAAGAAACAAAGACAATTATAGACCAATTTCCATTATGAACATGGATGTAAAACTTCTCAATAAAATACTTGCAAACCAAATCCAAGAACACATCAAGAAGACCATCCACAATGATTTAGTAGGCTTCACATCCCAGAGACACAGGGATGGTTCAGCTATGTAAATCAATAAATGTAACCTACCATATAAACAGACTGAAAGACAAAACCCATATGATCATCACATTAGATGCCAAAAAGGCCTTTGACAAAATTAGTACCCCTTCACTGTAAAAGTCCTGGAAAGATTAGGAATATAGGGGACATACCTCAACATAATAAAGGCAACTTAGAGCAAGCCCATAGCCAACATCAACTTAAATAAAGAAAACTCAAAGTATTTCCACTAAAATCAGGGACAAGACAAACTTGTCCACTTTCTCCATATCTATGCAATGCAATATAGCACTTGAAGTCTTAGCTAGAGCAGTAAGACAACTAAAGGAGACCAAGGGGATACAAATAGGAAGGGAAGAAATCAAAGAATATTTATTTATAGACAATATAATAGTATACATAAGTGATCCTAAAAATTCCACTAGGTAACTCCTACAGCTGATCAACATTTTCAGCAAATTAGGAGGAAAAAAATTAATTAAAAAAATCAGTAACCTTCCTATATACAAATGACAGACTCAGAAAGAAATCAGGGAGACAACGCCCTTCACTACAGCCACAAATAATATAAAATATCTTGGGGTAACTGTAGCCAAGAAAATGAAAGATTTGTATGATTGAAATCTTTTGGTACATTGAAGAAAGAAATGGAAGAAGGTATCAGAAGATGGAAAGATCTCCCACACCCATGGGTTTATAGTTAAAGAGGCCACACTACCAGAAACAATCTACAGATTCAATGCATCCCCCATCAAAATTCCAACACAATTCTGCACAGATCTTGAAATGACAATTGTAAACTTCACATTGAAACACAAGAAATTTCAGGATAGTTAAAATGCTCCTAAATGATAAGAGAACTGCTTGCAGATACCACCACTTGATTTACTCATTTGACTTTAGGGTCACAATCTAAAATTTTATGTGTGGTTTGTTTGTTTGCATCTTTAAACTTTTACAAAAGTTTAACATTTGGATCAAAAAAAGCATGAATATTACATGATAATACCTTTCAATTTAATTGCCACATCAATATAGGATTGCAGAAATGCCATGGATACTGCATGCCCTACAATAAAATCAAAACGTTCAACAGACATTAGGACATGCTTATCTACAGAGCAACCATACTTATATCACACACATAAACACATGTAGAGATTTATGGGAATTACCAAAACTAGCATTTCCAAATAACAATCATACTACAGAGTACTAGATATTATTCAATCACTTATACAGATTCCAAATGCAACTTACTTTTTCCTTCATACTGTATACAGTGAAATGGTTATTCCTTAAAGACAATAGATTTCCTATACTGCTATAAGAATGTCAACTTATTTAAAATAGTTACATTTAATTATACTAGTTGTCAAAACTGACTAAATTTCTAGCTTAATCATTAACCTTCATTTTGTAACTTATCTATCTAGAAAAAGTCAATTTAATTCCTCAGGATCAAAAGCAAATGCTTCAATGTGTGCAGTCTACTTGAGACATGAAAACGATGTCATTTTACAATGTATAATACATAGAAAGCAAACATAAAATCTGTTGACTTTAAGGGTCCTCATATGTAATACAGTGTCCTTTCAAAAAGCATACTCACAAGTAGCGTAGAAGAGCACTAAGCTGTCAGAAGTCGTGACTGTCGAGTTAAATGTTTCCTGTGTTAACTCCACTGTCAGCTCCAAAGGTAATGGCCTCTTCCTATCTCTGTAAACAGTCTCTGCCACTTCATCATCTTGAATAGCTAAAATGGTTTAAAGAGAGGTTAATTTACATACAGATTACATAATTAAATATTCAAAATGCCATGAGCTATCATACTTTATACAAATTTCTGAATCCATGTTGTCTAAACAGTATGTATGATATTTAGAAAAGTTCCCAGTTGCTGGTTATTACCTTAATGATTCTGGGGTACTTTCTGACCCAGAAATCACAAAATTGGTCAATTCCTGGAGCAATCATTTAATTTTTCTACAAACAATGGGAATATGGCAATTTTGTTTCTAATCACCATATTAATTTAGAATCCTAAAGGAGTCTACTACATTTTACTGTAGGAGCCCACAGAGTGCCAAGCATGGTGATAAACACTGGGACAAATGGTTACAAGACTTATCCTTGACCACATGGCAATAAACTCATCAATGAATAAAGATCTAATTACAAACTCTGATTAGTTTGAAGGTAAGAGATACAGTGAGGGATCTTGATAGGGAAATTTAGACTAGGAAATCTAAAGTCTACCAGGCAAGGAATATAAAGAATGCTTTATACAAGTTAATAACGAGCCATAACAGTGCTAAGCACACACAGGCACTAAGAGAAAGAAACGACTAGGGAGATGGAACTGTACAGACGCCTGACAAAAGAAAACTAGGCAAAACTGAACTGTAGGCAGGAAAACGGGCCAAGAATTTTGGATTAGGAAACCCTAAAAGCCTAACTGTACCCTGACTTCCTTTAGAAGCCACCCTCCTTCCACGGCACCAAAAAGTTACACTCTCAATACAGACACTATTTAAGTGTGGGGCTCCGCCCCCACAGGGTCTCTGAGTTGTTTGTCAGCTGATAGCCACAGGTGCATCCTGTTTTCTAGTCCTGGCTTACCGCCCCCGCATTTTCTAGTCCTGACTTACCGCCCCCGCACTGCCCACTGACGTCAACATCTAGCAAGAGGAAAACACGATCTCTTCCACCTGGGGTTTTTCTACTGTGTTGTAAGACTATATATAAGACTGCTCTCTCCTACGAGAGAGAGACCTCTTAGCACTTGCAATGAAGTCTCTCTCTCTCTCTCCCTCTCTCCCTCTCCCCCATCTCTCCCCCGCTCCCCTCTCTCCCCCTCCCCCTCTCTCTCCCCCTCCTCCTCCTCCTCTGTCTCCCCCTCCTCCTTCCCCCTCTCTCTCCCCCTCCTCCTCCTCCCCTCTCTCCCTCTCCCCCTTCCCCCCTCTCTCTCCTTCCCCTCCCCCCTCTCTCTCCTGGCAATAAAGACACTTTTTAGTACAAACAGCTGGACATCTGGTCTTTCTTTTTCTGATACCTTGGTGTTGCTTGTGGCGCAGGCGCTGCAATTAAGGGTCTTCTTCCTTGTGTGTGCTATACACTACATACACATATTTTTCCTTCTCTAAGTGTTGCCTTTCTATGGAACCCAGGATTCTCCATCTAACTCGCACTTTGTCTACTTCCCTTTTACTTGTCTCTTAAGTTCCACTGTGACTAATTCTTTCCTAAAACCCTTTTCTACATCTCTGTAAATGGGATGATTTAGAGTAGAGAGGGAATTACACATAAGGCATGGCATTATACAATGCCAACAGCCAGTATAGATTACATGCAACAGGAAGTCAAAATGGAAAAAAAGTATATCTGCCCACCCACCCCACCCCACCCCCCCAAAAAAAGAAAAAACCTAGGGATAGGCTCAGAGAAGACAGCAAGAACTGAAGGCAAACTGAGGCAGACAGAAGGAGGGAAAAGGAGACGTGACTTCCACAGAGAAATCTGGAAATAAGGAGAGGAATCTCACTAGACCAAGACAGGAGCAGGTGCCCCAAGTGGAACAGAGCAGAGCAGGAATTGAAAGAGCAGAGCTCAGTCAGATGATCAAAGACAGAGGAGACCTGGGGAGGAAACACCAGGAACTCCACTCTACACACCAGAAGAGAGCCAGTGTTCAGCTCAAAGCAGCAGCCAGGCCACTGGTAGCAGCTAAGTCTGCATTTAAGAACAGCTTTGTGATGCTGATCCTGACAATGGATGAACCTCAAGGGGAGCACCTTGGAGAGTCTGGTGATGATACAGTGACATACACAGAGCATTCAAACATGCAGCAGGACATAAATGCAAACTATGATCCCTGGTTCAGAGATTTGTACTTTAACCAAGCACAGGAAAGTAAGTAAGCAATTACAGAGTAAGATTAATGCCATGAAAGACACTAGGAACTATAATGATAACAAGTAACCCTCATGTCAGGATGCTTAAGCTCTGGGCCAGGCTCCACTAGTGTGCCGCTGGTGTGACCTCGGGCAAGTCACACAACTGTGGCAACAAATTCTTCATCTGTAAGTCAAAGGTGGGGCTGCTTCTCACAGAGGACTTGATTGTTAATCAAAGTCATGTCAGCCATGAGAATAAAAGCCAGAAGTGACTGGTAATTAAGTAGTAAAATAATCCTGAAATTCACTACTAATACCAGTGACAACCAGACACATTTACAGCTACAAACACATTAATGTTAATTACAACTTCATGTTCTAGGAGGATCAATAAAAATGAAATATGCCATGTCTTTGAGTAGCTCTGTAAGATACAGCCAGCCCAGTGGGTGAAAAGAACAGACTGTGGGAGACAAAGGCAAAAATGTAGAAGGCTGGAAGTCTAAACAGTAGAGATGTGATACACAGTAAGGTGTGATACACAGAGAGGTGATACACAGAGAGGTGATACACAGTAAGGTGTGATACACAGTAAGGTGTGATACACAGTAAGGTGTGATACACAGAGATGTGATACACAGAGATGTGATACACAGAGATGTGATACACAGAGATGTGATACACAGAGATGTGATACACAGAGATGTGATACACAGAGATGTGATACACAGAGATGTGATACACAGTAAGATGTGATACACAGTAAGATGTGATACACAGAGATGTGATACACAGAGATGTGATACACAGAGATGTGATACACAGTAAGGTGTGATACACAGAGATGTGATACACAGAGATGTGATACACAGAGAGGTGATACACAGAGAGGTGATACACAGTAAGGTGTGATACACAGTAAGGTGTGATACACAGTAAGGTGTGATACACAGAGATGTGATACACAGAGATGTGATACACAGAGATGTGATACACAGAGATGTGATACACAGAGATGTGATACACAGAGATGTGATACACAGAGATGTGATACACAGAGATGTGATACACAGAGATGTGATACACAGAGATGTGATACACAGTAAGGTGTGATACACAGAGATGTGATACACAGAGATGTGATACACAGAGATGTGATACACAGAGATGTGATACACAGAGATGTGATACACAGAGATGTGATACACAGAGATGTGATACACAGAGATGTGATACACAGTAAGGTGTGTGCTAAAACAGAAAAGAAGGCCCCTTTCATCCGCTCACCAACCCCCCAATGTGATTCCAAGTTACCCTCCCCAGGTTCCCGCACAGACCCTGGGTGAGAGCACATTGGTAAACATTCATCTCTGGGTATTTTTGCTTCCATGATGGGGGCGGGAGGGCAGGAAGGGCGGTCTTAGAGTTCTTACCCAGATCTGGACCTTCCTCGTCTCCATCTTCATCTTCCTGTGTCTCCTCAATGTACATATTACTTTTCACATGGGAAACTATTAAATCAACATCATTTAACACCAGAAATTCCACAGGTGCTTCCTAGAAATGGCGTTTAATTCTTCCAGTTAACATACAAAGTGACAGGTTTCATTCTGGCATTTTCAAAGGTGTCTATGTAGTTCTGTGCTTATTTGTCTCCCCCAACCTTCTCGCACCCTCTGGGCTGGTGTGCTGACTCCTGCTAAACCGTGCCCCCTGCTGCTTTTGTCACCCTTTACCATCCTCCCCCTCCCCTCTCATGGTCCCCCTTCTAGTTTAGTGACTCTTACACACACACACACCTAGATTCTGCATATGAGAGAAAACATGCAGTATTTATCTTTCTACGTCTGTTTTATTTCACTTAACATAGTGATTTCTACTAGTTCTATCCATCTTCCTAAAACTGTCATGATTTCATTTCTGTTTACCGCTGCAAAAAGTCTATTGTACACATGTGCCACAATGTCTGTCTACTCGTCTGTTGACAGACACTTACTCCATTTTCTAGCTATTGTGAACGGTGAAATCAGAACGGAGGTACACTCTCCCTGTGGTCTGCTGAAGAGTCCTTCTGACAGATGCCCAAGAGTGGTATAGCTGGATCATAACGCAGTTTCACTTTTAGGTATTTGAAAGATTTATTCTTCAACTGTGTTTGGGGGGGGGGACGGGGCATGTGCACCTGAGTGCAGGTAGGGGCCATAAAGGCTAGACCAGAGCATCAGAGCCCCGGAGCTGGAATTACAAGAGGCTGTGGGTTCTGAGAACTTCAGTCCTGTGGAAAAGTAACAAGCACTCTTCACCAGCGGGCTGTCTCTCTAGCCCCTGTATTTCTTTTGATCCCTTTGTGTATGGAGTATTTATGTATGTGTGTATATGAAGTGTGTGTGCACATGTTCATGTGTGTGAACGATGTTAGTGCTGGGCAGTTTTAGGCCAACTGGACACAAGCTACAGTGTCATCTAAGAGGAGGGACCTTCAATTGAGAAGATGCCTCCAGAAGATCAAACTTTCAGCACGTAAGGCTATAGGGCATAGCCCATTGTGGGTGGTGGCACCCCAGGGCTGGTGGCCATGGGTTCTATAAAAAAGCAAGCTGAGCCTAGCATGGTGGTGCACACCTTTAATTCCAGCACTTGCAAGCAGAAACAGACAGTCCTCTGTGAGTTCAGGGCCAGCCTGGTCTACAGAGTGAGTTTCAGGATAGCCAAGGTGGTTACACAGAGAAACTCTGTCTCAAAAAAACCAGAGAGACAGAGAAAAAGAAAGAGAGGGGGAGGGGGGAGGAGGAGGTGAAAAAGAAAGAGGGGGGAGGGGGAGGGAGGGAGAGGAGGTGAGAAAGAAAGAGAGGGGAAGGGAGGGAGGAGGAGGTGAGAAGAAAGAGAGGGGGAGGGGGAGGGGGAGGAGGAGGTGAAAGCGTGAGAGCACAGGCAAGCAGGATGAACAAGTTAGTACAGCGCCCTGGTGGCCTCTGCATCACCTCCTGTCCGACATCCCTGACCTGTTTGAGCTCCTGTCCTGACTTTTTTTGATGAGGAACTGATGTGGAAGTGTGAGCCAAGTAACTCTTTGCCTGCACAGGTTGCTTTTGGCAGTGGTGTGTCATAGCAGTGTCATGAGAGGCCCTTGCCTGTGAATGAGGGTGTGGGTATGGCATAGCACGTGCATGGAGGTCGGAAGACAACGATTTGTGTTCTCCCTTTCCACCCTTGTTTGACACTGCTGTCCTTCTCATTGGGGGCGCTCTACGGTTACAGACATTCTCTAGTAAGGGTTCCCAGGCCTAGGTGAGGCTATTCTTTCAGTTCTTGAGAACCTTCCATAGGGATTTACACAATGGCTATGGCAGTACACACTACTTTATAAGAGCTTCTCTTTCCCAACACCCTTCTAGCATTTGTTCTCACATGGTACCCTGATCACTGATACGTAACAAAGCATTTTACTCTAAAATGCTTTACTTCCTTGCAACTAAAATAAAACCAAAACTCTAAACTTCAGTTTTAAAATTAAACAACAAAAAAAGGAAATAAATGCCACAATTACTACAAAGAGAAAAGCATCCAAAGTGAACTTAAGCTAAAGACAGATGCCATCCTGATAAGAGGCAAAAAAGAGGAATTGAAATTATCACTTGCTTTTTGTCACTACTAGTAACTGTGAAAATTCTTACCAAAAAATTGCAGGTTCTTTATCTCAAGACAAAACAAGAGGAATATGTATATACATAATTTTCTTGCGAATAGAAGGAATCATAATTGGTTAATTTTACACAGAACTAATACTTCTTTTAAGAGAATTCCTCCATAAAATTCAATTTCCGATCTAACTATAAACATAAAATTAATCTGTACTCCCAGGTACTTAAGAAAGGCTCTTGCTACCAAGCCTTCAGACCTGAGTTCAATTCTGGGAACCCACAGAGAACAAGGAGGACACCAACTTCTGTGAGTTGTCCTCTGACCTCCGTGTGTGTGTGTGTGTGTGAGTGTGTGTGTGTGTGTGAGTGTGTGTGTGAGTGTGTGTGTGTGAGTGTGTGTGTGTGTGTGTGTGTGTGTATGTGTGTGAGATAATGAAAACCAGCAACCCTAGCATTCATAGCACACAGGAGGCTGAAATAAGAGTATCCTAAGTGAAGGGTCAGTATGGACTATGTAATAGAGACCCAAAATAAATAAATAAATCTCATTTCATTTGGCAAATTTGCTTCCAGAAATTTTGTAACAGGAAGGAATTAGTGATATTCAAAACTATAGGGGGAGGCATTACATAACAAGAATAACTAAATATAGTTTTATGGAAAAGTCAGATATGCTTTCAGAAAAAATTATGTATGTGTGAACATGGGAAAAGACACTGACACATCGGAAAATAAAACCAGCATTATGCATTTAAAGAATGATACTTTAAAGACCTTACCAATAATAAACATGCATTACTTTAGTCAAATGGATTACTTTAACTAAAAGAGGTAGCATTACTTTATAGACTAGTGTGTCCAATGACTAACCTTCTCTGCTCTTCTGAAGGCCACATTAGCATGCTGAGGAATGTCCACGTCCACAGAGTCCCTTTTTCAAAGTGGAAATAAACTTTTTATTCACTAATCTGAAGAAGCCACCCAGGATGTCAATGTAAAACAAAACTATGTGCTCTTATTCTAAACAGTTGTGAATAGATTACACTTTGGTGAGATTGAGAAACTCCATGTATAAATGAATACCAGCTGGGTTTTCTAGCCTTCACTGTAATTTTAATCAAGCTAGTAACCAGTGTATAATCTTCAGTTCAGGAGCTGTCCTGACAATACTAGAATCTGTTAGATTTAAAGGGTTTTTTGACTAGATTGCCGTATTAAAACTAAGGAAAACCACACTGAAGACATCACTAACACTCAGCATGTGATACCTGGACAAGAGCAGAACGCCTGCTTTCCCCAGAAGACGCCACGCCACCCACTCTGCAGTTCTTCTGTCGGCTTCATATGTAGCTTGTTGGCTGATAATAAAAACCAGCGGTAATCCTAGTTGTAGATGAATGATTGAAACTTGCTGAGGATCTTCAGCTACTTCCATCTTCATTTAGAAAAAAGGCAAAACATCCTCACTGTATAGTATTAACGGACCAAACTGACTTTCACACGTTACCTGACTTTCACATGCACACGGGTGTGAACACACACCGGCCTCCCCTCCACACACAGTCTTTAAAAATGAATAGAGCACTGTCTACTACCAAATTAGTCTCTAGGAAGTGAAGGAAATAAAAGTTTAATTCACCTGTCTTAGATCTAAATTTATAAACAAAAAATAAAATACTTTTCAGAAAAAAACACTATAAACTTATATATCTACTTTTACCTTTTTTATCAAATTATTGTACTTCAAGATCCTTCTTGGGATTCAAATAAAAGCTTTCCCTCTGTCTACCAGGTGCAAGTGACCACTGTAGAGAAAATTGTTAGTATTCCAAAATGTCCTTGGAACCAGACAGTGGTGGCAGATGCCTTTAATCCCAATACTTGGGAGGCAGAGGCAGTTGAATCTCCAAGTTTGAGGCCAACCTGGTCTACAGAATGAGTTCCAGGACAGCCAGGGAAACACAGAGAGACCCTGTCTTGAAAAAAGAAAATAATATCTGGGAACTTAGCTATTAGGACAATGAACCATTTCCCAATCTGTGTTCATCGCTGGAAACCCTCAGACTAGGTCTGGATTAGGCTAAAGAGATAGCTCAGCAGGCAGAAGCTCCCCCTGCTCTTGAGGAGAACCCAAGTTCATTCCAGCATCCATGCAGTGTAACTCATCATCGCCTCTAACTCCAGTTCTAGGTGATGGTCACCTGCACTCATGAGCACACACAGGACCGCACATATAATTTAAAAATAATAAAAATAAATGTTTTAAGGATAGGTCTGGTGGTGTTTTAAGACGGTGGTGGTGCACACCTTTAATCCCAGCACTCAGGAAGCAGAGGCAGTTAGATCTCCTTACTTTAAGGCCAGCCTGCTCTACAGAGTGAGTTCCAGGACAGTCAGGTCTACACAGAGAAACCTTGTCTCAGAAAGAGAGACAAGAGAGACAAAAAGACAGAGACAGAGATGAGAGAAAGAAAGAGAAATAGGTCTGGGGTAACTTTGTATCTGTTAGAATCTCAATATATTTGAGATTGAAAACATACCACAAATTTACAATCAAGATTAATAGTTTAAAATTCAGATTCAGTCATGGCCAGATATGGTGGATCATGCCTACAGTAGCACAACCTGGGAGTCAAGATTTTCCCGGACTAGACTTTGAGTGCCCATGCCACAATATGGGAGGCTCTTTCAGCCAGGACTCTTGGGGGGAGGGCCTATGCCCTGCCCTGGATGAAATGACAGTTACTGGAGATCCACCATGGAGGGCCTCACCCTCCCTGGGGATCGGAGTAGAGATTGGGTGGGGAGCTGGGGGACCTGGTGGGGTGGGCAGGGGAGGAGGAGAGGGAAAGGGAGCTGGGATTGACATGTGAAACAAGCTTGTTTCTAACCTAAATTAAAAAAAAAAGATTTTCCTGGACTACAAAGCAAGTCCCATACCAACCTGAGCTACATAGCGACGTGCCAGATACCATCTAACACACATACACACACACACACACACACACACACACACACGGTTATATATCTAAATTAAGTATCCAAGCTCTATCTACCTTTAAAAAGAGAGAGATGAACATATATACAAAAGCACCAATGTGAATCAAAATGAAATACTATCACACAGCAATGATTAGATATATACTGTGGTAGTTTGAAAGAAAATGGCCCCCAAGGGGTGTGGCACTATTAGGAAGTATGCCTTTGCTGGATTAGGTGTGGCCTTGTTGGAAGAAATGTGTCACTGTGGGAGCAGGCTTTGAGGTCTCTTATGTTCAAGCTACACATGGTGTAGTACTTGGTTCACTTCCTGTTACCTGTAGATCAAAATGTAGAACTCTCAGCTCCTTCTCCAGCACCATGTCTGCCTGCAGACTGCCATATCCCATCATGATGATAATGGACTAAACTTCTAAACTGTAAATTAGCCCCAATTAAATGTTTTTGTAAGAGCTGTCGTGGTCATGGTGTCTCTTCACACCAACAGAAACCCTAACTATGACATATACTATTCACACAAGTCTGAGTCTTACTTTCTACTTTTGTTTGCCTAACAGATAAATTTAAAGTAAACACACCAAGTTATTTCAGATTCTCAATGCCTGAGACCAGGCTACTTTGCAAAGTCCAATGACTACTGTACCTCAAAGGCACGTAGTGTGACTGACTGTAAACTAACACAGGAAGAACAGTGCAGAGCAGTGGTTCTCAGTCTTCCTAATGCTGCAACCCTTTAATACAATTTCTCATGTTGTGGTGACACTCCAATCATTAGTTATTTTTGTTGCTACTTCATAACTATAATTTTGCTACTGTTATGAATCACAACGTAAATATCTGATATTTTCTATGGTCATAGGCAACTCCTGTGAAAAGATTCTTACCCCCCGATGGGGTTACAACCCACAGGTTGAGAACCACTGGTGTAGAGTGACCATGGAAACTGAGTGTGTTGGTGGTATACCTCTTCAATCCCAGTACTCCAGAGGTTGGGCAGGCAGATTTCTGTGTGTTTCAGGTCAGCCTGACCTACAAAGTGAGTTCTAGACAGCCAGAGTATAGGGTTATTTCTAACAACTGAGCATAGCTGAGGCTACAGAACAAGAACAAACTATAAACCAGTCCTTCAAATTAGAATCTGTGCTACCCTACCCCTTGCCATGCCACCAAAAAGCATATTCCTGTTACTCAATTTTGGCTTATGAATTGTTTCCTATAAAAAGGCTTTGACTTTACTTTGTTTTAATACCTGAAGGGTATTCATTAAGAACAAAAACAACCTCAAATTCTAATATGGCCAAATCCAAAGTTAGAGGTGACCATATTAGATTAGAACTCTGACATCTGCTTATCCCACAAAGATTAAGACATCAGCCTTCACTCATTCCCAAGGTGCTCCCTGAGCACTGTCAGCTTCCTGCATTTACCTCGTCCCTCCTCTGCAGGAAGGCTGCTAGTCTGGTCTTCTTGGCAGAGACACTGGGTCAAAACTTGGATTCTCATTCCAGCCCCCTACCGCCCCACCCCTTCACTCCAGCCCCCTACTTCCCACACTCTTCAGTTTTGCATTCAGATCTTTCCTGACTTCATGCTGTCAGTCATTCTGACTTCTACTCTCTACCCAAGATTCAGAATCTGCATCAGTTCCTTAGCAGTCCAGGGAGAATAAAAGGAATTCAATTTAAAAAGGAGATGCCTATGCATAATTTTGTGAGAGTTTTTAAAGAAATACCACTCTGAACTCCAGCAATTTACTATTCCTTTTGCAGAGTGGAGTCATTTGTACCCCACAGTTCCAGAAAGCACCACTCAACTGGAAAAGGGTTCGAAAGCACATTCATAGAGAATTCAACACTAATCCTTGACTTTATGCATGCCATGCTTTCAGGTGCAGCCAGGCTTAACCTATCCCCAACTTACTACACAGTCTTCAAAATTAGGTTGGTTTTTTTTCTCATTTCAAATGTATTTGCATTAACTCCTGTCATAAAATGAAATAAAATCAGAGATCTCTTTCCTGACTATCTACTTAAACATAGTTTAAGCAGAGAACAAAAGAAAATTCATGAATAGACAGTAGGAAAAGGTATGACTTCAAGATATATATAGCAAGAAGAAAAATACTTTTATTAATTTTAGTACAAGTTATAATTTACCTCCTACTGGCATGTAGATAAAAACCCCATGTGTTCACCTGTCTGCACTTGTATTTTGTGTGTGCGTGTGTATGGGTTCAGGGTAGACCTAAGTCATCGGGTTTGGTACCTGCACCTCTGCACGATGAGCCACCTTGCTAGCCCAAAATTCAGAGAATTCTTAGTATCCAACTTGTATAAGAAAACAAGGATGGAGAGGCATGGTGAAGAACTCTAGGGATAAACTGTCCCCTCCCTTCCATTGTTCCTCAAAGACATCAAAAAAAAATCCAAAGGGGATTTTTTTCCCATGGATGCATTACTCCATTGTGTAAATGTACCACATTTTCTCTATCCACTCTTCAGTGGAGGGACATCTAGGTTGCTTCCAGGTTCTGGCTATTACAAAGAATGCTGCTGTGAATATAGTGGAACAGACATCTTTGTTGCATGAATGTGCATACTTTTATTTTTTTCTTAAACTGGGCATGTGGAAAGTAAGTTGGAGAATCATGAGTTGGATGCCAGCTTGGGCTATATAGAAAGTTCAAATTCAGCCTAGGCCACATACTGAGACCTTATCTCAACAACAACAAAAACAACTCAGAAACTTCTTTGCAACCAAGATCCAGCTGAAGAAAAAGTTTTTTTTAAGATAAAGACCTAAAGGATAAGATTAAGCCATCGAAAGTGTAGCTGGCTAGCTCTGAGTCTATTAAATGTAAAGCCTAGCTTTTTAAAAGGCTGGAATTATGACTACAGAGTAGACTAGAAAAAAGAATTTTAACAGTGCCAAAAAGAAATGTATTAAAAAAATTAGAAAAGTTGAACAGAGCTGAAAATGAATTTATGAAGCTAATTTTCACATTTTTCAAAGCAAAAGCAAATACCTCCTTCTACCTAAAATGAAAACATTGGAGTTATAAAAGCTGATTCATTGATTTTTTAGTGTTTTCATAACTCAACACTTGAGACACTATTTCCTAAAGAGCAGTGTCACTCGATAGCAGTGAAGTATTCGTAAGAAGACTAATCCCTTTAGAAGCTTATCAGTTTCTTCTTAGGTTAAGTCCATGAAAGATTTAAGCACAGTGCTTCTCACCACAAGGTGACCCTCTTGTCTGTGCACTGACCCACCACACTCCATCTGCATAAACTGAGATCATCTATTATTCGCTTTCTGACTGATGAGATGAGGCAACTTGCATTTTTTAATTTACACTTTGTGGTGCTATCCAGATTATTTGTAAAACACATGATCCTTTTTGTTTTTTAAGATGTATCATGTGACAAAAATCTACTGAAGGCTTTTCATATACTCAAAAAAGGCCTTTAACATTTCAGAGAAAGTGCTGACCACCATCATCAAATGTGTCTCTAGAGCTCATGAGGGCTAATGCTAACCAAGGTAAGAGGACTTGTCTTAACCATGATTGGTTCTGCTCTCTGAACACTCACCAAGTTCCTGCACTCATTACAACTATTATACACCATTATCACTTGTATGTTATAGTTAGGTATTTTGAGGCAGCAAATAAAAATATTTTAAAAGCAATTTATACTCTACATTTAACAAAAAATTACTCTTAAATGCTGTGAAATGAAAGTGAGGTGTTCACAGTCAACAAGACAAAAAGCAGCCCCATAATGGGAAAAAATATTCACTAACTCCACATCTGACAGAGGGCTAATCTCCAAAATTTACAAAGAACTCAAGAAGCAAGTCTCCAAAATACCAAAGGATCCAATTAAAAAGTGGGGTTCAGAACTAAATAGAGAATTCTCAATAAAGGAGTCTAAAAGTGAGAGAAACTTGAGAAAGTGCTCAACATCCCTTGCCTTCAGAGAAATGTAAAAATCAAAACAACTCTGAGATACCATCTTATTCCTGTCAGAATGGCTAAAATCAAAAACACCAATGAAAGTTTATGCTGGAGAGGATGTGGAGAAAGGGGAACACTCCTCCATTGCTGGTGGGAGTGCCAACTCATATAGCCACTTTGGAAATCAGTATGGAGATTCCTCAGGAAAATGGGAATCAGTCTACCACAAGACACAGCAATTCCACTCTTAGGCATATACCCAAAAGATGCACATTCATACAACAAGGATGTCTGTTCCACTATATTCACAGCAGCATTATTTGTAATAGCCAGAACCTGGAAGCAACCTAGATGCCCCTCAACTGAAGAGAGGATAGAGAAAATGTGGTACATTTACACAATGGAGTACTACTCAGTGGACAAAAAACAATGGAATCTTGAAATCTGCAGGCAAATGGATGACACTAAGAGAAACCATCCTGAGTGAGGTAACCCAGTCACAAAAAGATTTTAGACATGGATCAGGGGAGTGCCAGCCTACAATCCTAACAGCCAGAGTCTGGGAAACAGAACCCTCATCCACTGACGGATGGAAGCAGAAGCAGACACCCACAGCTAAACACTGAACTGAACCCATGGAACCCAGTGACAGAGAGAGAGGAGTGATGAGCAAAGGGGTCAAGACTGGGTTGGTTTAACCCACAGAAACAGCTGACCTGAACAACTGGGAGCTCTGGGCCCCAGACTGATGGCTGGGAGGCCACCATGGGACTGATCCAGATCCCCTGAATGCAGAGGTCAGTGAGGAGGCCTAAACAATCTATGGGGCCTTGGGTAGTAGATCAGGCACACAAATGGACTTTGGGTGTCCATCCCACAATGAGGGATGCTCTCTCAACCTGGACTCTTGGGGAAGGGGTAGGCCCTGCCCTGAAAGAAATGACAGACTCTGGAGATTCCCCCATAGAGAACCTCACCCTCCCTGGTGAATGAAGTGGGGACTGGGTGGAGGGCTGGAGGGATTGGGGAGGTGGGGGAGGAGGGGAGGGAGAGGGAACTGGGATTGACACGTGAAGCAATTTATATAAAAAATTTTTTTTTAAAAAGGAAATTGAGGTATCCAAACAAAAGAGATTAAAATATAGTCATCAATGTAAACATTTATCTGTGAATGGACACTTACTAAATTTCATGTGTGAACACCTGGTATAGTAAAATGAAATACATACCACCAGAGGTGCTTTCATTGTCTTGATAAATACATGAATGTTTAGTGTAGTCAGAGGCTGTTCCATTCGTGTTGTTCTACAACTCTCAGTCAAGTCTGAGGCCAGTTCACAATGAAGAAAATAGAGATGTGCTCGGCCTGTATTCTCAGAGCTGCAAATTGAAAACCAGCAAGAGACACTTGGTGAAATCCAAGGTGTGATCCTTTTACAATCCAAAAGGACCTACTAACAGGTTTTTTTGTTTAATCCTCATATATTGAATTACTGTTTTAATAAAAACCTAAAAGTTCATTTTAAAAATAAAATCAACTTGGACAAAATAAGATAGAAAATAGGTTACAGGTTTCAATAAAATACTCGCAGGTGAGATTATCTTTAAATATAGCTGTCTTCCTAGAGCTATGCTAAATGAAGCTTTGTAATACAAATTTTCTAAGTTAAATTTAAAACCAAAGCTGTTTTGAATTAACTCTAGCTACACTGTGTCTTAATATGGAAACCATGTGATAGCCGTAGGAGTCTGTCAATTTCACCAGAAAAATTACAAAACTGGGAAAATATAGTTTATAATTTGGGTTTTGGCAAGATTTTAATATGAGAACTTATAGTGAATATTAAATTTTGCCAAAATTAAAACAGCATTTTTACCACTTCAATACTTTATTTTTAAAATAACATATCTGAGTAGTCACTGACTCTTAATTTAATTACCATGTTATTCCATAGAGTCGGTGATAAGTGAACCAATCAAAGTTATTTAATAACTATTGTTAAAGCTCTATGCTACCTCAAAAATAGTGCCCAGAGACCCCTAAACTGAAATGGACCTGAATGGCTCCTCTCTGAGGATTAGTTTTCACAGTACCAGAAGGTACCATGAAAGCGTTCAAAGGAGGGAGGCAACCATAGTCCTACCCAGCTACAATGCCTGTGAATTCCATCAACAACCAGCATAACAGTATAACCCTAAGGGTGACACACATAGCTTGGAAATAACCAACAGCTCTCTAATTGGACTTAAGGCCCACTCAACAAGAAGACCACACCTGGTTCTGGAAACCTACTCGTTGCTAGTGGCATCATGGTTGTTGGAGGAGAATCTACAATTATTAATTTTCTAAGCCAGCATAATCCCTAACAACTGTCTATTACCATTTGCCCTTACACCCACAGTAAGGACAGTCTTCATCCATCATCAAGAAACCTTCTCTTTACAACACAGACTATGGCAGAAAACCATAACCAGTCCAAATGCATTGTTGTGGAGCCCAGTACCAATCTAAAAAATCTCCTGCAACTAAGGCTCAAGGAACATTGTGGAAGAGATTGTAGGAGCCAGAGAATCAGGGGGATTGTATGAGACTGTGTCTCCTACTAACATCAGAAGCTGTGCACATTAAGTCTCATCAACATGACCGCCCAAACGTGAGCTCAACAATGATGACACCAATGAGTATGCCAAACTAGATGAAGAAAAGTCCCTGAGGCCTCAACCCTACCCAGACAACTAGAGCCAACCAAGGAGGGGTAGAGTGGGAGAGGTGGCCCTCCCCAGGAAGAGCACGCCAAGTGGTTGTCCAGTGCCAAGAGATTGATCAGTCCTGAAAACAAACAAACAAGGAACGTCATACGGACTCAACAGGTTATATTTAGGAATGTATATGCATACACAAGTACATACATGCATGCAGTAACAGTGAAAAGAGGTCATAAATTTGAAGGAGAGTGAGAAGAGGGAGGGCTTAGAGGGAGGTCTGGGAAGGGAGAAATACTGTAATTAAATTTAATCTCAAAAATAAAAAAGCTCCATGTTAAATAGTAAAGACTAATAAAACCACTCCATCCTTTAAGGGCTTAAGCAAAAAGAGATGTGTTAGGGGAACAGCTAAAACAAAGTTTATAAACTATATACAAAGTTTATAAACTATAATATACAAGATGCTATGAGGGATAAAGAAATATTTCATTCTGCCTCAGGTTGGAAAGGAGAAGGGAAAGAGAGGGAAGATCACAGAGCTTACAAAGAAGGGGAGGTATAAAATCTTCACAGAAAGGTAAGATAAATGTGCATTTCAAAGGAAAGCAACCCCTGTGTAGCTAAGGCTCTAAGAAAGTACACAGCTTCCCGGGGGGGATAACACCGATCTGCTTGCTAACACTGCTGAAAGCCAAGTGCTGAGCACAGCGTATCCTGGGTAGGGTGTACTTCTCATCAAAGGCTCCAAGGATAAATCAAGCCGGAAAGCTACTTCAATGGGGACCCTTAGTTTGCTACTCACAGAAACCCAAAGAGGGGAGGGGAGGGGAGGGGAGGGGAGGGGAGGGGAGGGTTATTGGACATTTACAACAGTGTGTCACAGGCAAAAAGAAGTTAAATAACGGACTGAAAACAGCACTAAGAATCCACCATGGAGAACTGAGCAGCAGGAACACAGAGGCTTCACTGTAGCACCAACATTCTTCAGCTCCCAGCTGTCTGTCTGTCTGTCCTGGAATTAACACGACACCTACAGAAGCTATCATGTCCTGAAAGGTCAACAGGTGGGCACATGAGAAACTCTGGCATGACCACAGGTCATGGCATTTTTGTCTTGCATTGGATTAATTGTCTTGGAGAGGATGTTGAGGCTACACTTGATTGTTAAATTTCATTGGTTACTTTTTGTGGATCTTAAGTGCGAAAAGGAGAAACTTTAGCCTAGATTGACCCTCCCATGAAGAGCACTGAAAAGTGGGATTCTATCTAGAACTGTCAGTTATGAATCAGACAAAGAAAGTTAAAACATTCTGCTCAAAAACTGCCTCGGGTACATTTAGGATTATTATGACAAAGTGACTTACAGAACCTTCAAGAGACTCTCTGGAGCCTAATTCTGAAACTGTTGCTTCGCTACTATGTGATAGCTACAGGTCTATTCCTAAGATGCTTCCTGTTGCCACCGCGGCAGTCCAGCACACGGCTTACCCATTGTCTTTATTCACACACACCCCCAGCTACCACTGTCTCCATGTAATGTCAAAGAGTGGCTTTTAACAAAGTAATAAAGGCATCCCCCGTTTCCCCATGTATTTACAAGGGTATATAATTCCTTCAGAGAAATCCAAGACATGACAGGGATGAAAATGTTGACTAAGCAACACGAAATGTGCCAACAACCAAAAACCAAACCATTGACCTGGGTTTCTCATACATACCCGATATTTTCTAAAAGGGCAATTTCTGTGGTTAAGGCAAACTGGTATGAGGTCCCATACACAAAAGCGGCTTCCATGACTGCTCTGTGCTCTGCAGAGGACACAGGGAGATAGTTAGTGTGTGACCTCACTGAGAATTATACTAACCCTTTTATTACCTATTAATTTAAGGAAAAACACGAAGGAAAGATGATTCCGTAAATAAGAAAGGTTACTGCTCTTCCAGAGGTCCTGAGTCCATATCCCAGGACCCACATGCGGCAGCTTGTAACTCCAGCTCTGAGGGAAGCAGTGCCCTCTTCCAGCTCCTCAGGCACCCACATACGTGACATACCCTCACACAAACATACACACATAAATAAAAGTAAATCTTAAAGAAACTTAGAGTATATCTTATTCAAGCTTTTTCCGGGGGGTGAGGTTTTGAGACAAGGTTTCTCTGTATTGTTTTGAAGGCTATCCTGGAACTCGCTCTGTAGACCAGCCTGGCCTCGAACTCACAGAGATCCGCCTGCCTCTGCCTCCCGAGTGCTGGGATTAAAGGCGTGCACCACCAACACCCGGCCTTATTCACACTTATAAAGGTACTGAGACCATAGAAAATGAATTATCCTTGAATATCTTTGTAACATACAAATGTGATTGTTTCTTCTAATTAGTGGGAGTACTATGAATTCACAAGTTTCATGTTGTATTTACATATTTATAGGTATGTTATTTTTATCCATTTTAAGAAACAATTCAATAAGGCATTTTAAGAAAAGAAAAACCCTTCCCCTACTTTCAACCCCATCTCCAATACTCAAGGGGAACACTTTAATCCATTCATTATTACTTCAGACGTTTATCTGGAAGCCTGCAAATGTCCTTCTTATTCCCTTATTTCCCGATACCTGCTATCAACACGTACATGCAGATATACAAACGAGGCTGGCAGATAAAGTTACTACACTATTTATGGACGCCCCACTGTGAAAGATAACAAACTACATCTCTTTTTCTGAAACCCAGTTCTAGAAATGCACATTCTTCACACTCTCTTAGTCCTTCTGGTATGGATCTCATTTTTACTACATCTTATTCAGTGTTTACATTATGACTCAGAATATTAGTTATAGATGAGCCATAGAGAGCAGAATGGCAGATTACTTCTTTTTATGAACACATTTGCTTTTATGCACTTGTAACTATGTCTTTACAATGTTTTCTCTAGCCTCCTTCTCTTTAAGCTCTTCCACAGTCAGTCTTCCTTGTCAAGTCTTCAAACGTGTCAGGTCCATTAGCGAGCCTATCGTCCTGGAGATGCTCGTTAGCGCACACTGGCCCATTCTAGCATCATCTAGTGATGTCTCACACAGCTACCATTCCCAGGCTCCTGATTCTTTGTCTTACGTTGGGTCCTTTGGCCTGTTAACCCTGCCTTCTTGTTTACTGTCACTGCCTCTCTCCCTTCTCTAGAACCATCTTATAAGGAGACACATGAAGTAAACAATTCATTGCCATCACCCTGTACTTCTCAAAGTATCTTAATTCTTTTACAAGTAACACAATATACAATTGGCTGGTTAACTAGATTCCAGCCATCTCTCTTAGGAGCATTCTTGGTCCTTGTACCAAATACTGTTCCCGTTGATGGGACCAAACGCCTGGCAACAAAGCCCTGGTGGGAAGGAGCAGCAACAGGAGCATGAAGCAGCCGGCCGCGGGCAGCTGCAGTCAGGAAGCAGGAAGCAGGGTGACAACGCCGTGTTCAGCTTGCTTTCTCCTTTCCCCTTCACCGTCAGCCCAGGACCCTTGTACATGCACAGATCAAGATACACAGGACTTGGTTAAATGTATTCGGGGAGAAGTCACTTCCATAAGAAACCAATGACCCGCAAGTTCCTGCTCCGAGGATCCACACCCAGGCTGCTCCTTGTGACCTGACCGCAACCAAGAGAGAGTGAGCCTGTCCCGGACCCCAGACCTAATACCACATGGGCATGGTCAGAGCCACAGGTGCGGCTGGGTGGATCTCTCACTACAGATCCTGGCCCATGGAATAGAGTTCCCTGAGTTTAGAGCTGGTCTTTCATCTCAGTTAAATCTCTAGGGAAAGACCCTCACAGATGTGCCCAAACGTGTGTCTTCCAGGGGATCCTAAATCCAGTCACACTGAGCAAGAAAATTAACCATCGTAGACCTTTAATTGCACTCACCCCCCAGGCAGTTTCAGAATAGTTTTCACCCCAACATCCTGAGCATGGCTCTGTAATGACTTCAGTTTAGAGGCTCAAGTCCTTCAGCTCAGCAAACTTCTTGGAGAACTTCTCTGATGATTCCCTTTGTCATGTATTGTGTTCTCTTTTGCTATTTCCAGACAGTGATCTTCACCTCCCCACTTAATCCCTCAACACTTGAAATTCCTTGTGATTACTCCACACACCACCCTGTTACATGGGCCACTGTGCCAGGATCAGCCTCCTGACCAACTCTACTGTCCTGGTGGGTCTCCTGTCCATATGAATGACTCCTTCAAAATCCTCACCCTCGGTTCTTGGTCTCTCTACTCCAACACTGCCGTTACTACCACTGTTATGGGCGTGATCCAAGCCCTGGGACTACGGCTTTATGCAGCTTTTCACTGCATTCTGATCTCTGCTTCTCTCCTAATCAAGTTTGGGTTACAGGGTCGATATTTACAGTTGTTGCCCTTCCTAATGGGCTAGGACACTGTTCATGTTAAGTTCAATACTCTCCCTATGTACCTACACCCATTAAAGTAAACCCTGCAAGAGGGAAAATAAACAAAACCTTTTAGCCAATAGACTCGCTTTCAGTTACTGATATTAAAGATTATTTCTGCCTAGCAATCATCCTCTTTTAAACTGTATTATTAACTTATTTATTTTGAATGTTTGAGACACGGTTTTGCTATAAAGCCCAGTCTGGCCTCAAATGGCGACCCAGTGCTAGGAGTATAGGGGTGAGCAGCCGCGCTTATGCAGAAAGCATCCTTGATTTCCAGACCTCCTGACTAGTTCATCTCTTTCTTCCTCAACAACAACAACAACACTCTGAGTATGGCAGTGCGTGTCTGTGATCTCAGCACCGGGAGGGCGGAGAGAGGAGTGCCACTATGAGGACCAGCCTTCAGCAGCTCAGGGATTGAGGGGAAGCCACTAAGTCAGCAGGTCAATCACTCAATTAGACTTTTCTAGCTGAAGGAGTAAAACTAAACCCTCTGGGGCTGGCAAGTGGGGCAAAACTAAACTCTCTGGGGCCAGCAGAAAGGGGGAAAACACATACACACCTTTAGGTAAAAGTAAACTCTCTGGGGCCAGCAGAAAGGGGGAAAACACATACACACCTTTAGGTAAAAGTAAACTCTCTGGGGCCAGCAGAAGGGGGAAAACACATACACACCTTTAGGTAAAAGTAAACTCTCTGGGGCCAGCAGAAAGGGGGAAAACACATACACACCTTTAGGGTAAAAGTAAACTCTCTGGGGCCAGCAGAAAGGGGGAAAACACATACACACCTTTAGGGTAAAAGTAAACTCTCTGGGGCCAGCAGAAAGGGGGAAAACACATACACACCTTTAGGGTCTTCCTATCATCTCTCTCACCCCTTATGTTCTTACCTCCATCCAAGTGTATCACTTCTATCTATTCTTAATTTTTTCCTTTACAGCTTATATACTCCAAAAAATATTTCAAACAATATAAAAATTATAATGTGGTTACATGTCATTTGTAAGTGAATGACTACAACGAACGCTACTAAAAAAGGACACGTTTTCCATATCCCTTACATGATTAAACATTTTGCATATTATGGGTGAAAAACAAATTTTACCCAAGAACCCACATACATTCATGTTCAAGCAATTTATTATAGATGATCAGAGTGTAAGCAACAAAGATATTTTTCTCAGTTTTTTTGTTTTGTTTTTTTCTGGCAGGTTGCATTTCGCAGTTACAAGGAAAAAGTCAATCACTTCATTATATTATCTTAAAAGGTAATCTTATAAAAAAATCTCAAAAGAACCGCAAATCTCAACTTTTTATATATGAAAAACAAAAATCAGTCATCTCTACTTTAACTCCTGAGGGTAGATCAGGAAGCTGAGAGCAAAAATGAGTACAAGGAAGGAACCCTAACCTTGATCACCAACCCATCGTAGAAGGAAAGGCGTGAGAGCTAATAATAATCAGCTGTCTTTGTTCCTGTTTCTTGACCTCAACAAGTCGCTTACTCAACTATGTACCTTTCTAAACTTCAAATTGTCCCCAAGATTTTCTACCTCAAAGCCATTAACTAAAACATCTTAACCTAATTTAAGTCATTATTCGAAGCTTTGTTTTGGCTATGATGCACACTGAAACTTGTGAACACATCTCCCAAGATTAAGATTAAGAGAACTTGAGCTAGCCTCGCTTCTGATACACAACAGCTTTTCTTTAGCATTAAACGAAGCCACAGTCTACATAGCTCCTCAAGAGAGATCCCTTACTATATTAGATATCCTCAATCACTAAAATCCTATTTTAACTAACACTAATATTATATAAAGTCCTTGCTTCAGTTAAACAGTATAGCTTAGGAGGAAATCATCTTCATAACAATACGCAGGCAGAAATGCGCAGTAGAACGGGACATGTCCATGGGATAATCACACCAAAGGCAGTGGGGATCCTCCCAAAAACCCATTAACACCATGCCAGACATCAGAGAAAAATGGCAGCAGCAAGCATGTAAAGACACAGTAGTAGTAAGGGAGATTCTGGAGCCGAAGCCCTTGGGGCCTTGCCTTCTGAGATTCACCTCTGGCATGGCCACTGGGCAAGGGAGGATGCCCCAGGCTTGCTGACCAGCTCTGTCTACTTGAATCAGCGAGCTCCAGATTCAGTTAGAGCAGTGATTCTCAACCTTCCTAACACTGGGACCCTTGAATACAGCTCCTCATGTTGTGGTGACCCCAACCATATCATTTTCGTTGTCACTTCATAATGGTAATCCTGCTACTGTTATGGATCATAACGAAAACATCTGATATTCCCAATGGTCTTAGGCAACCAAAAGGGTTTGCAACCTACAGATTGAGAACCC